TTGATGTTGAATTCATGATATATATGTTGTTTAAACATGCTTTGATGGTTTACATGAGAATTCATGTTTTTGCCTAATGAGGATGAATGATCACTTAATATTCTTTTAAGGCTGGGGATCCTTTCCACAAAAGCATGTTTTCGCTCAGTGGCGTGATTGTCACTCAACGTTCATCTATAGTAGTCTTTTTTAGAGCTTGTTCAATGAGACATAACACACCCAACTAAAGAACCAATATGGTGTTTTTGAATTGTTGCTTAATAGGTTATGGTTGCCCAACGAGAAAACCAACATAATGTTTAGTTTACTCAACGATCTTTTGGCCATTCAATGATGAGCTCTAGAGGAGTTAGGTTCTCAACGAGCCACAACACGACCATTGAGGAAAATAACAAAGAGTTTTTCTTGTTAAGCTAGAGTAACTTGCCCATCGACAAGTTTTAGAGAGTTTTGGTCACTTAGCTAAGTTATCTCTTGCTAAACGAGAACTTTGTTTTTGTGAAACTTATATATTGTGTTCTTTTACATATTTTGTTGATATAAGTTGATGATGATTGAACCTAGTTCATAATATATTGATATATGATGATATATTATGATAAATTAAGTTGAAAATAGTTTGTTGTATGAAGAATAATGAAATAAGTTGTAAGTTGTTAAGATGTGATAAAATATATGATACATGTGTTTTAAGTTGAAAGCTGCATAAAAGCAAGAGGAGAAAAAGTTGCTTTTGAGATTAAAATATTCCATAGTATGAATATAAGTTGTGATGCTCTAAAAGTCCAAAAAGTTGAAAACTTTTTAGTGAGTAAGTTGTCTCTTGATTAAGGAATTATTTTAAAGTTGTATTTTCTAGGTTTTTAGTTGAAACATTATGGTGAAGGCTAAACCATACATGTCAAAAATGGTCAACGAGGAAGGTATACTGTGAAAGTTGATTTCCTCAAATATGATGTATAAATAGATAATAAAATATCTTAATTATTTAGCAGAAAAATTATTATTAAATATAATATATTTATAATTTATAAGTTGTTATATATGTGTAGGGATGAAAATAAGTCAGATTAAATCATATTAGACTTAAAATATTAGACCAAGCCTATTCTATAAAATTAAAGCATGAATGTTTTGGGAAGCTAGATGAGGAGGTTCCACCGCTACCAATATCACAAGATGATTTGACCAAGTTCCCAAAAGTGTTGATTATTGATGAAGAGTTTAATGGTATAAACCTTGGAAGGGTTCCTTGATAGTCAAGATGCTTGGAAAAAGGGTTGTGTTTCATCAGCTAAAGGCAAAACTTAATCAAGATTGGGCATGCAAAGGTAGAGCATATCAACTTTCTCACCAATACCATGATTTTCACATCCACATCCACATCCACATCCACATCCACATCTCAATTCCACAATACATACACAATCCACACAAAAAAAAGGTGGTTCACATACCCCTCAAGTAATTCACCATGAATCCTCACCTAGATCATCAATTTTATCAAATAATATAACAATAACATTCATAAATTAATAAAATAATCAATAGAATTATCAAATTAATATAATCTTAACAAACGGTAAAATCCCCAATTATTCCAAAACCTAACTCACAGACACTTTTCTACAATTTCGTTCTCTCTCCCAGATCATCATTCTTACAAATTAAATATATATTTCTCATCCTTAACATATATCGAATCTAATGGGATCATCAATTTTTCAAATAGAAATAATCCAATTTTTCCAAAACCTAGCCTACAGACACTTTTCTATAATTTCGTTCTCTCTCCCAAATCATCATTCTTACAAACTAAATATATATTCATAATCCTAAATATATACAGAATCACATAAGACCAATAATTCTCCAAATAGAAGTAATTATAAAATTACTCATAATCCTACGGGCTTCCTCTTCTACCCAATTCCCTCATGTAGCTTTGCATACAAATAATTCCCTTTTTCCCCGTACCTGGATAAACAGCAGTTGAAACTAAAACAGAGATCTCTTGGTCTTCTCCTCTAAGTGCTCCTCGATCTTCAGAGAGTGTAGAAGGAAAAGAAGAGAATGTAGAAGAAAGAAGTCAGAACTGAAAAAATATGATTTTGGGAGTGCTAGAGCACTCAATTTATAGGCATCAAGATTCGCGGAACGACCCGTTTCAATTTCGGAACGGCCCGTTCTGAAATCTCACGTCATGTGTAAAATTTACATCCAGAACGGCTCGTTCTCAAACCAGAACGGCCTGTTCTGGGGTTTGCATTAAAAATTGTAAACGGTCATATTTTGGAATGGCCTGTTCCGAAACTGTAATGGCCCGTTCTCAATAAGGTTCAAAGGCCATTTTTGAAATCTGGAACGGCCCATTTCAGTTGGGAACGACCCGTTCCCAACTAAGAATCATAGACAAATTTTCTGGTTTGGAACGGCCCTTTCCAGGCTACAAAAAGTAGGTCTATTTAGCAATTTAGAACGGTCCTTTCCAATTTTGGAACGGCCCATTCTGGGCTACTAAACCACCTTAATTGCGTTCTTGGCCTAGTGAAAGTTGGGCTGTTACATTTGATGGTCAATGTTTTGGGAAGCTAGATGAGGAGGTTCCACCGCTACCAATATCACAAGATGATTTGACCAAGTTCCCAAAAGTGTTGATTATTGATGAAGAGTTTAATGGTATAAACCTTGGAAGGGTTCCTTGATAGTCAAGATGCTTGGAAAAAGGGTTGTGTTTCATCAGCTAAAGGCAAATGTAAC